TCTAAGTTAAGAGTACCAAAGAAATTTCGACAGATATCACGTTGCACGAAAGGTTTTAAGCGAATACTAATTATATTTAAATTCTGGAGTCGAAATAACGCAGTCGCAATAGCGACTGGCTATGGGCCGAGGGGTCGGAATTCGAGTCCTGGTTGGGGCAAGATTTTTCTTTTCTCCACGTCTTCTAGGCAGATTCTTGGGTCCACTTAGCCTCCAATCCAATGGGCAACGAGGGTAAATTCGAAGGAGCGTGAAGCTGACCAATCACCTCGAACTAGTGCCGAAGTCAAGAATGCGTGGATCTATACATCCACTCCCCCATACGTTTCCATGGCGTAGTGCTTAATTAGGTAAGCACATGGACAACTTTACCTTTTACTACGATATACTTCTATCTGTTTAATATAGTCTTCTAAATGCGATGACCTGCAGATTACTGGTTAAACGCCACTAAGCCTTGAAATTAATGAGTTTTTCGATTTTTTCTTTCGTCCGATATTCTGAAAAATCCTAAAGAACACATAGTTTCGGTAACTGGATTTTTTCCGTTCTCAGGTGAAAGTGTTGGAGACACGTGCACTGTTGGGTCCGTTTGAAACAGTTAACCTCGATCACTGACCCGATTCAGTAATTCCAAGTTTCATACATCGCCGTTACAAGCTTTAGAATATACTTACTGCCACTTAGCCTGTGTTTCACGTGAAAGTAAAAAGTAACAAGCTGTGGAGACCCATAGGGCTGTGAGATGTTGAGGTTCCCATATTTTCTAGACAATCAGCTCACAGACGGCGGCAAGGTTGTCAGCCTTACGCGCCGGCCGCGCTTTACTCCCTAGGAAAATTATTTAATTAATTCCTGGTACTAATTTCTGTTAGAGGCTGAGTAAACCCCAGGGCCTAGTGTGGCTGGAAGGATCAGGTCAATTAAAAAATCCAATAACCTCATTGGGACTTGAACCTGCGACCTTCTGGCTTGTAGCATAGTGTCTCAACCAACTACGCTATCGCGTGCCCCCTAATCCCTCCAGCCACATTATGGCCCTGGGGTCGACTCAGCCTCTAACAGAAATGAGTACCTGGAATCTTCCTGGAGGTAACGGGCGGCCCGCACGTAAGGCTGACAACCTCACCGACATTTATGAGCCGGTTGCCATGGCAAAAGCTGCATTTAGCAAGAAGAAGAATCTTTTTACCAGCAAATTGGACTTAAATTTGAGGAAGAAACTAGTGAAATGCTACATTTGGAGCATAGCTCTGTATGGGGCTGAAACATGGACACTTAGGGCAGTAGATCAGAAACATCTGGAAAGTTTCGAAATGTGGTGTTGGAGAAGAATGGAGA